AACGATAAGTGCAATCTGTAGTACTACAGTACGTTGGAAGTGAATAGAGGCAGAGAAGTGACGTCATCACTGGAGGAGTCACTCAAGTGGACCCTGGCAGTGTCCGCGCTCGGCTAATGCGTGTCTCGTGTCCACTCACTTTGCGCTGTCGAAGTGTTGGCGGATCATTGCACGTGAAGTTTTCATTTAAACTTCTCTCTTAAGCTGTGAGAATGCTCAGCTATAAATCGTTTGTTTTTCTTAATACTTTTCGCAGTCTTACTAATATGAAGCCGAAAGTTTGGATGGATGGATGTTTGTTGGACTGTGTAGCCTAAACTGCTGAGCGGATCTCGAGGAAATTTTGCATAGATGTAGTTGATAGTCTGGAAGAATTCTTTTGTTCTTTTTTTAATTTAACGCAGACGTAGACAAGGCCAAAAGCTATTTAAAAATAATGGTTTATGCAAGTATTCTTTTTCTTTTTGCTTAATTCTAAAGGGTTTATATTTACGTTTTATTAAGAGATTGTGTAGATATTATAAAACTGGACAAATTTCGTTTAGAAAAATAAAATCATTGAACATTTTTTTTCCGTAATTCCCCTCAACAATTTTATTTCGCCCAAAGCGCGGCGCCTTCAAGAAAATAAAAATTATATTAAGTCTGCTAGATTAGGTATTCTCTGAATATTCAGCTGAAGTATAAAAATGTAATTGTGTTTTGTATTCCACGAAAACTCTTGTTCTTTATTAAAATGTCGCTTTACACTGAAGGATAAGATGTTAATTAAATTTGTTTATTTTGTGTTCTTATCATTATGACTTTAATCAAAGAAGATGAGATTTAGATGCTAGATTAAATTTTGAAAGGATATTCTTAAGAGACAAATCCATATAACTTGCGACTATAAACTGTAACAAAAGTAACATCAGGGAACTCAGGCGATGACGTCACAATTCAGTAATCCAGCATGCATCGTATAATGTACGTCGAGAACAAACTTCTTGCAGATACTATTTGTTACTTGCAAACTACGCCGCTAACACAAACAGATTATGTCATTATTGTAAAACTGAACAAGTTTCTTAGTTCTTACATTACATTGTATGTTAATCGATTTTAAATGGATACCGAATTTTTTTCTTTGACTATTTGTCAATTTTAATCAGACAAACAATTGCCTGTGCGGATTGCAAATAAAATATTTGTTCTGTGAACAAAAGATAACAAGGTGTCAGGGAGCAGCGAGCAGCGAGCAGCGCGCCGCGGCCGCGGGCGATGCAGGCGTTTTGTAGACTGCCCGACGTGTTTGTCTTTGTTGAATGCGTAACACTGTTTGTTTCGTAATCACCGTGTAACGAAAGCGCATTCGAATACTATGACGTCATTTAAAAATACTCAAAAACAATAGTGTTTTCATTCATTCAATTCATGTTTTGTAGTAATACTGGTATTTTATTGATTCTGTTAAGCAATTACATTGATATTACTTGGTTTAAATAAATCGTAGGCGGGCACGCTGGCTGCCAAGCTGATTGATTCCGACTTTCGAGCAAATTGAATATTAACATTTCACCTTCCCTCTACAGCTGATTTCTTGTGATCTTGCATAATTTAATTGGCTTTGCCTATTGACAAATTTAGATTTTGTAATACTGTCAAAAGTGTAGTTAATTAAAATAGAATAAGTTTATATTGTATCAGTAAGAGCGTATACTCCAGAAACTAAATTGTCGCACAACTGTTTAGTCTTACTTTCATTGCTATGAGCTTGTATGGAGGTACACTATTCGTTTTTTAGTTGTGCAACTAAACAGTTGAATTGGCTGCGAAACAATCCACAGTTGGTTGTGCGATACACTAAGATTAAAATATGCACTTGCTGGGTTTGTCGGTTCAATGTTCAAACAGTAGTATGGAATGAGATCGCTAAGTTGCCGTCACAGAGAACGACGTGTTTGCAACAGAGAAATACATACAGCATGTAATATAAGTACCTACAGTAAATTTTAAATTAACTGTGTTACGTGTCTTTTTAGTATAATTTACTTAGTGTGTCGCAGGTTAAATATGTCAGTGTATATATAAGTCATTAGAACACCCTCTATGTACAAACATCGCCACGTTTTCACTCTTGGTTTTTTAGAGAGCATTTTAAACTCGTATAAACCATTGAAAAGTTGTACGAAATAAAAATGCGCAACGCGTTCGTTGTTCGTCGACTGAAAACCGTTTTACATATTTGCATTTTAGTTAACAAGTGAGTGGCTCTCAGGGGGCGGGGGAGTGGGGGGCAGAAATGTCGTGGTCGAGTACTATGCTTATTCAACAACAATATTTAATTTGTCACACATTTTGGTGACTGGTCGTTTCTCCTAAATTTAAGTTCGTTTTTATACAAAGGCCTATGTCCAGGGACAAGCTGTAGATAGTGGTTTAAGAGTCGCCAATTTGCAAGAAAAAAATAGATGTAGGTAAAATGTAAATTTAAAATTAGACTTACATTAAAAAAAAAAATCAAATGTACAATCTTCAGCAATAAAGGCTTTATTATTATTATTATTATTATTATACAATTTAAACTGCTTTAATATGACGTGTAATTGACAACCATAGATAATTTAAACAATGTAAACTGTTATTAAATATATGAAAATATATGAAATTAAGTTAGCTTTCCCTGCGGTTTATTTACAGGGGGCTTTGAATTTCATAATTATAAAAAAAACGTTTATGTTACATTAATCTTCTTTTAATTTTTAACAGCGACTTCCAAATTTTTGGCCAATCCCGAAATTTACAAATTAAAAAAACATAGAACGCAATCTAAGAGCATTTTCCGGGCAGCCAAAAATATTAAATAAACGCTTTTAAAATTACACCTACGTCGTTGAACTTACCCTTTTCAGCGGAGGCTGTATTAAATGGGATTTTTCAGAGGCGCTCCTCAAAGCCTGGGGCGCGGGGGTCGGGCGGGGAGTGGGGGCAGTTCGTCTGCTTTACATTTGCCCGCCAGCTTTGTTGAATAATTTACTACATGTAGGTCCATACTTTTTTAATTTATATTACGTTTTAAGTTCTGCTTCACAAAATTAAACTATATTAATGTTCTTAACGAAAATTAAGAATCTATTTTTAAAACCACTAAAACACTAACAAAGTTACACAGCTTCGTGTCCGGCTTGCTCTGGTGTGGCTCGCGGCTGTGTCGCATTGGTGGTACATACGACATTTTCTCATTTAATTATTACTGTATTATGTACTAAATTATATTATGAAGGTGATGAAATATTATTAGTATTAAGGTCTTTACCATACGTAACTATTAGCACTGTCATTTGTCAACTTAACGTGTACATGCGTGCTAACTTAGGTAGTTTTTCTCATTTCGCACACAAAGGCAGAGGCATGCAATCTAAGTTTGCAACGTTACCGCCTCTACTACAAGCCAAATTTCCTCAAACTTTGATTGCATTCAAATTTTGTTACGAATCTCGTTTAAGAGTTTGTTTGTATACAACTTTTGTTTATATTTTAAATGTATCTATATTGTACAAACTTTTACCCGCTATTCACTACGCGTGGAATTAAAAAAAAAAACTAAGAAGCCAGTTTCGTTCAGATTATTTTCTACATCTATGTCATGTTTATAGAAATACGTTACAATCATCTCTTCATTTATTCAAACGTTTGCATTCATAATCTATTTATACTATTATAATAAAGCGTAAACACACACTACTTTGTGGCCTAAGATGTCAACAATTACAGCATATTTATGAAAAATTATTTTTATAATAAAAAGTCCTACACTTACATCACGCTTTAGTCTATATATGTTCACGCTTTTAAACTTAGAGGGTAAATAAATTGAATAAAAACCGTAATGTGGGAAATAGACCATAAGTTGCTGCCAACATTAAGAAAGTAAGATTGCCAAAGTTTCTCATGTCATTTTGACATTTGCTATTGATAATTTGACAAATGTAAACAATAAAATAAAATTCTCATAATTCCATGCGGATGAAGCCGCACAGGAACAGCTAGTATTATTATGAAGTAGTATTCATTTGTTTTTTTCGTCTCTAGTTTCAACAATTCTCCTAAAATCTCTTGCAGAGGATAAAAATAAGTAAATTAGTCAGATAAACTATTTACATTTATATTCTCAGAATGATAATTTGTAGTGAGAAATATTTGATATCGATAAAAAATGGAGTATACCTAAAGCGATATTTGCTGAATTAAATCAGTCGCGCGTCGCCATGTTGCGTGAGTGTGGGAGCGCAATACTGAAGGCACGAGTTTTCCAATTATTGCAATTGCAGTAGCAATTATCGCGAACTCAAATGTGCAAGCACTCCGCAGCGCCGACGAATACAAAGTTTAATTGATAATATTGCATTTATTGGTTCAACAACATCGGCAGTTAATTGTTATTTTAACGTTTGCATTCACAGTAATTACTACCTTATTAAGATCATTGTACATAATGTACTGGTAAATCCTCATTTGATACAGTGACGATGAAAAATATGTTATTTACTATTTATTCATTATTACATTTTTATAGACTTAAAGTCAGCAATCTAAAGCGAAACTCTAAATAGTATTCCAGAAGTTTCGTATAGCAATTTTATCTCATTTTCATGCACATTGCGAGTATTCCTGAAGCGAGCTCTGAAAAATGGAACGGAACTCATTATTGGCTTTTATTCCCCGGGGACGATAAATCGAATGCATTTCAACGATAAGGTTTAAAACCAGCCGATCTTGAAACCACCGCAAAATGCGGAAATGCAGGAAAATTGGATATTTCAAGCCATCGCGGTGACAATTATACTGTGATTTTATATCATTTTGTGGTCTATAATGATGTGGATATAATTACACTTTTCAATAAAGTGGAATAACATAAAAAGTATTGGCGTAGAGTTTATGCTCTTTTTGGAAGGAAATATGTATGAAAACACAGCATTATATAAACAGTTTAATTTTTAATTATATAAATGTGATTTTTATTTGTCACATCTCGGTATGTAGTGAACGTAGAGCGGTTCGCCGGGCATCAGAAACATGCCCCTCTTGTCAATCTTAGCGCGGGAGGGCGTCGGCGCGCCGGGCACCGGCCGCACCTCATAGTGGAGTAACACATGCGCCAGACCGTATCTCATCGTTTGCAGACCGAAGCGTTTACCTACGAAAAACATTTAATTATAAGTAAAAAATGATGGAAAACAACGGATATAAAATAACTACTTCATTACTCTAAGCACATAATATAGCTAGTTTTTGTAAAAGTTGCGACAACCTGAAAAATGAACTCCCTACATCTCCGGTCTGTATTAAGCCACCAAAATGAGCAACATTATTCAAAGACCAAGTCAGGGGATTTCTAATATACAGGCATAAGTATGGGGTTTATTATAGCCCGGAATTTTATCCGGTAACAGATGTCACTGAGCTCACCCTTGTCGCAGAAAGTTTCTACTTTGTTATCTTTATTTAGATCGAAACTTCGAAATTCTGTCATCAGCAAGTAAATATAGTATACCTATACAACTTCTTGGTCCTTCACCGAACGGCATAAATGTGAAAGGTTTTATGTTCTTTTCATTTTCTGGCAGAAAACGATCTGGATTGAATTTACTAGGATTGGGGAAATAATCTGGATCGTAATGCATGCCGATTGCGTTAACATACACGGGCGTGCCTGCGGCTATCGTCAGATTCTCATCTATCTTGTAATCCTGTGACGCGATCCTGTCCAGCCATCCCATTGAACTATATTTTCTTGTAACTTCTGTAATAAGAATTACAAGATTGCTTATTGTATTATAAGATATAAAGCTAATATAAATAGTTATCGTACCTTTGATGACGCAATTGAAATATTTCAAGTCAGAGAGAACATTTGCGTCGAGTCCTTCTACTCCGTATTGATTTTTTGCTTCTAAAATTTCTTCGTACATTTTGTTCTAGAATTCAACATATATTATTCAAAATATCATTCGTAACATCATGTAATTAATTAATTTTACCTGTATTTCTGGATGAAATGCTAATTCATAAATAGTATACGTCATAGCTGCAGCAGATGTGTCAAAACCTCCTTCCACGAATATCGCCGCCTGAGCAATCAATACGTCCTCCGAAATTTCTAAAAAATATTTCGATATTTTTTTCAAATAAAAACGATCTAAAGATGCAATAGCAAGTTCCATTGTTTGTTAGGATCTCAGGCTTCTAACATTGAGTAGGGTCGTTAAAGAATTGTCACTTTTTAATCCGTCGGCAGTAAATTAATTACCTTCTTTATCATTGAGGCTTTCCTGTCGTATTTTAAGAAGAGCGTCCAATAAATCTCTGGGCTCATCAATTTTTCTGTCGTATCCGCCGCGTTTTTCAACGACTGTACGAAATATTTCCCTGAAATATTTTGTTGCGCTTTCAGGGAATAGGGAAAATCTGCAAAAATAAAACATGATAGCTGCAAATTTTCGTATGGACTTTTACAGAGATTTCATAATCCTCTAATCCTTGTTAGAAATTTTAACATTTCTTTCAATTTAACATGTTTTGATATTAGTAGGTTTTTGTACTATGTATTTATAAGTATTTATTTTACTATACGTTCTCTATGTATAGTAACTATATTTCATATCATACTAACAGCATAAATACGAACATTCATACAGATGAATGTTTGTCGCTACGTATTGACTACATATTGAATTGCATTGAACATAGTCTCAATGATGTAGACTATCATATGTGTACTTGCTAAGTTTTTTTTAAGTATCGACACTTCACAGTGTCGAGGCGACAAAAAGAGTTTTTACTGATGACTTTAATAAATGACTTTACCAGCCACCTTTGCCTTTGTGTAACAATAGAAGGATTGTAAATCAAATAGTCATGAGAATGTGTACCCAAAGATGTCGACCAGCTGCGGACAGAAGAAGATGCTGGACCAGCAGAGTCCGCGCAGCGCGCTGTACCCCATGAAGTGTTGCGTGACGCGGCGCATTGCGCTGTGCCCCGTCAGCGTCGCCGACCCCGACAGACCGAATGACGCGCATCCCGTTATATCTGTCGTGAAGTCTGCAAATAATACCTGAAATAAGACTCACTTTAGTATTTCTATTGACATAGGTTTGGCAATAAACCAGCAAAGGATAAAAAATTAGAAGAATGAAGTATAAATAATGCACGATTGATAAGGACGGCAGAAGACTGAGTTTTGTAACAATCGAAGGCAAAGATTTAAGTCCAGTATTAGACAGCTTTATGAAGATATCGTAGTAATATGCTACTTGTATGCCCCCCGCTCCGCTCGTAAACAGTGTTCATATCGCTCCGCGTATTTAATTATAAAGTGTTGGATTATGTGTCTATAACTGTTTTAAAGTTGTTACTAATTGTTGGGAATAGTTCGCGTAACAAGTTGTGCGATAGTGAAATCGTAAACAATTCTAAATTACATAAAAATGAACACTTAAGATAACTTGCATAAATTACCGATCGACGCGGGTGCATTGAGAAAGTTGTGCGCAAGCAATACTCGCACTTCCGTCCAGTGCATAACCGTGCGTTTCGCGTGCACTCGGCGCTCTGCCGTGACTCAGTGTGAAATAGTTGTGGACTCATTTGCATTAATACAAAAGATTTATTGCTTACGATATCTTTTGTGTAGGATAAGTGTTCAACGTTTAAAATAACATTATGAAGTGCGCGGGATGCTTAAAAACTACCAAAGAAGCTAATGTTACAAAATGTACTTCTTTAACTTGTGATAAATGCTTCTGCACCCTATGTGTTCCATTGGCTAGTACGGCTGATATGAAAAAGACTTGGAAATGCCCCGATTGCAGCGTACACCCAAAAACCGGCTCCGAGTTAGCGGGGTTCACTGACGAACTTCGCAATCTGACCAAGGAAATTTCGTCACTTAAATGTCAACTAGAGGATGTGACAAAGTCTATTTGTTTCTGTCATTCCCGTCTGGACGAAATTGTCACTTCACTTAAAACCACAGACAATAGATTGAAAGCATTGGAATTGCGAGACATCGAGTTAACTAATCTCAAAGCCACAGTCATACATTTAGAGAACGAATTACACACGCAAAGACAGAACGACATGAAAAACGAAATAGAAATTATCGGAATTCCCGAGACTCAGAATGTAACTTTACAGCACTCCGTACAGATTGTAGCGCAAAAACTCGGTGTGGAACTCAAGGAAGACGACGTGGACTATATCACGCGCGTAGGGCCCCGTCGCCCAGCGCCAGTCACCGAGCGGCCCGACGAAGCTCAAGGGATGTCGCGTCCCGTGGTAGTGCGTCTGCTGCGGCGTTCTAAACGAGATGCGCTAGTGCAGGCGTCGAGGTCGCGTCGTAATCTAAACACAACCGACCTACAGA